TCTTCTATTTTCCCTCCTCCAACATCATCACCACCAGAACACTGAGTACCAGAAGAGTGAACTTCTGCAAACCCTAAACCAGTGCTTTCTTCTTCGCCATCTTCTTCTCTTTCCCCTCCTATAATACCATCACCACCAACAGAACAGTTAGCCGCACCACTCCAATTGTAGTCCAAATAGATTTCTCCCACGTCACAATTATCTTTTTCAGTTAAACATGGGTCAAAACTTTTGGTGGTGTAATGATCACCAGTACTTGCATTAGCACCAGTGACCATGTTGTTGGGGTCAAAATCAAATTCTTCGGGATCTCTAAGGAAATCAGTAAACTGGGTACCTGAGAATTCATCCATTTCATCTTTATACTCTTCTTCTGGGTTTTGTTGTTCATTGATGGGCAAAGAAGAGGTAGATGAAGGAGCCAAAGCATTATTTCTTGCTTTAAGCCTATGAAGAAGGAGGTTAGTAATTTTTGAAGGAAGAGCTGGAGTTGAATTAGATGATGGAGAACAAGGCCAGAAGTTTGTGCGAGTGTTTGATCCTCGGAGCAAACAAGCAGCCTCATCATAGGCCCTTGCAGCTTCCTCAGCCGTGTCGAAAGTGCCCAACCATACCCTTATCTTTTGTATGGTGTCCTTAATTTCGGCCACCCATCTACCTGATGGCCTTTGTCGAACTCCGACGAACCTCTTTCGAGCTCGCCGTGCTCCGCCCAGTGCTGCAGCTGCTGCTGCTTCCTTCACCATCTCATCCCAACCCATATTTTCTTCTTCAGGATTTTTCTCATCCACCCCTTCACTTGCCTTTCTTTTCCTAGCCATCTCTCTTTTGGGTTAGATAATCTGTTTTTTCTTAGTTTTCTTGGCTTGGTACACTAGTAGTGAATGAAAGCATATGTATGATGATGGTGAAGGTACTTGCCTTGCTTGCTCCTCTGTTGGGCTGGTATATATACATGTAGAGAATGGAAGATCCTGTCAAACTGAAAGAGTCCAGCTGTACAAGTTCTGTTGTTCATACCTTCCTGTTAATTTTTATTTGGGCTTTCATATCAAACCAGATGGAGGTTTCTCTTTGATGTGTGTGTGTGTGTGTGTGTGAGATAGAGAGAGAGAGAGAGAGAGAGAGATATATGAAACATCCATGTTATGTGAGGCATTATGCATAGTATACAAAGGGTTTGACCCAGCCAAAGAGTAGAGTTCTTTGCTTTCTCAACTATGCATTATTATTTTAGGAGAATAGACTTGTTTTGAGTATGACATTTGGACATTGCAAGCCTGATTAGGTTACTAATCTTCTTCTTGATTATAAACAATTCTGATATTTTATTGCTTAATGATATTAAGAATGAATATCTTTTGGGTTCAAACTAGGGGACACACAGATAAGTAATCGCTGTCCCGAAAAAGACTAGTCGTACCCTTTCCATCGTAAGGCATAAACACTAGAAGTACCTAAATCAAAAATAATTTTATATGTACCTAATTTATCAGAATTTTATATAGAATTCGCTTAAGTAACACAAATTAAATCTAAATAACATTACTCTTAAACCAGAAAAAATCACGTGCAAATGCAGGTAGTATTCTGATACCACAAGAGAATGTAAGCGGCCATTTAACCACCTTTTTGTTGTTTTAAGTAATTAAAATCAATATTTGGAAATCAACTCGATTTACTCTAATTGTTAACCGTTGATTATCTCTCCACCTTTGGAGGATCATGGATCTCATAGACTTACAGGTTGTTGTACTTCTTTTTATTATTTTTTTTTTTTTTATGAGTCAGGTCTTATTAGGGCATCTCTGACTCTTACTCAAATAGACTTAAATTTAAATTTGAGTAAAAAATTCTAAAAAACTTGTTCCAACCTTAGACTCAAACTTATACTAAATCAAGGAAATTTTTTTTTTTTTTCTCAAATCAAGAGACTCAAATCTTTAATGGTAAGATTTCACTATCTTTTAAAGATCCAATGGTCATCCTTACTCCCATTTAAATTTGGGTCTCTCCTTCTTTAAATTTGAGTTTGTTCATTGAAGTTATTTATATCAAATCAAATTTTTTACTCAAATATTAATTTAAATTTAAATAAAAATTTGAATCATAGTCGCAAATGCTCTTACTCTAGAGATTTTTAAATAATTGATATTTTCTATCACTCAAAAGATTGAAAATCTCGGACTTTTTCATTCTGCAAACATGGCAAATCAAGTATATTTGTCAACCAAGAGACCAATCTTTTTCTTCCATCCTCTCAACCAAGAGATCAACCTTTGTCGAAGTTAAAAGGTTGATTTCTTATATCCCATCTAAAGGTTTTATTATGCCCTCTTTTGGGCTTCTCTTCGTTGAAAAATTTGGAATAACATAATGTAGAACTAGTATATTTAGAAAAAAAAATCTTTCTTCAATTCCTCTAAGTTAGCTCGTTGATGAGAATGCAAATGTCATATTTTTTTTTCTCTTTCATTATTTATCCCTTTATACTTATTATTCTTATAGTTTGATTTAAGATGTAAATAAAGACGTTAAAAGTAGAACGAAGCTAATAGGATGATTGTTGATAGTATAGACATGTGGGGATTTATAGAATGACCCAGCCTTCATCACCCGTACCCAACCGTACTCGGTCCATAATGGACACTAACTCGGTATCTTATCCCTAGGACTCAATCACCCTGCTCAGTAGAGACGGCGTAGCCACCAAACTCCCAAAAGTACCCTGAGCCTGACCCATATAACATAATCCGAACTGTCCCACAGTCTCGAGCATCCTCCACTCCCGGGAAGCCATACTAGCCATAACTCCTCTCCACTTTCGGCTAAGTGCATTAGTCACCATGTTTGTCTTAGCGGGATGGTAATGCAAAGTGAAGTTGTAGTCCTCTAGGTACTTCATCCACCTGCGTTGCCTCATGTTGAGGTCCCGCTGAGTGAAAATATACTTCAGACTCTTGTGGTCTGAAAACACTTCAAACTGCTCGCCATACAGGTAGTGACGCCAAGCCTTCAAGGCAAAGACAATGGCCGCCAATTCCATGTCATGTGTGGGGTAATTCTGCTCGTGATTCTTTAGCTGCCGAGAACCATAATCTACTACCCTCTCGGACTGCATCAAAACACATCCCAGCCCGTCCTTCGAGGCATCACAATAGATCGTGTACCTCTGTCCCCGTTCTGGAACTATCAGAATAAGAGCCGAAGTAAGCCTCCTTTTCAACTCCTAGAATGCATTCTCACAAGAATCATTCCACACAAACTTGACCTCTTTCCGGGTCATCTTCGTCATAGGCGCAGCCAATCGGGAGAAATCCTCAATAAATCGCCAGTAGTACCCCGCCAATCCCTAGAAACTACGTATCTCGAAGACTGACTTCGGTCTCTCCCAATTCATAACTGCCTCAACCTTCTCTGGGTCCACAGATATACCTGAAGCTGACACTACATGTCCCAAAAACTTCACCTCTATAAGCCAAAATTCACACTTGCTAAACTTGGCATACAACTGATGCTTTCTCAATGTCTGGAGAACAATCCTCAAGTGACCCTCATGCTCCTCCTCAGACTTGGAGTAGATCAAGATGTCATCAATAAAAACTACAACAAATTGATCTAAATAGTGTTGGAACACCCTGTGCATGAGGTCCATGAATGCCGCTGGAGCATTTGTTAACCCAAATGGCATCACTGTGAACTTGAAATGTCCATACCGCGTTCTAAACACCGTTTTAGGGATATCTTCCTCCCTAACCCTCAACTGATGGTAACCGGTACGAAGATCTATCTTGGAATAGACCCGTGCCCCTCTTAGCTGATCGAACAAGTCATCAATCCTCGGTAAAGGGTACCTATTCTTGATAGTGACCCTATTTAATTGCCGGTAATCAATACACCACCGAAGAGTCTTATCTTTCTTCTTAGCAAACAAGACCGGAGCGCCCCATGGTGAAGTGC